ACACTAGCTGTGCGAGCGCAGTTGCTGCCATGCACGCACATCGATTCGAAACACTTAAACTTCAACAAAGTGCAGTACGCTCAGATCTCGCTTAGATGCACGCAGGCGTGCACCCAGCGCCTCCAGGCGACGTCAACAAGTGGAAGTAGGCATCTCGGAAAGCGCCCACAGAGCTTGCGCCACAGAAGATGACAGCATCACTGCCGTGGCTCAGACATGCATCGTCTACTGCTTCTGAGCTGCACTCGTCAACACTCATTTCTGTCCCCAAGCACTTCAAGCTCTTCACGGCAACAGGTGATCCTGCTGCCCCACACCAGCTCCCTCCTCCATACTGGCCGCATGGAGATGGGCTCGGGATCCTATCGAACCCTGACCCTGACCCTGAACTCTGAACACAACAGGCACTTCAGTCCCGGAGAAGCAACCCCCTGACGAGAAACCAAGCACGACCACAGCAAGCGACCCTCTCTCCTTTTGAAGGTGGTGGTAAGTACAGCCAGAATCTACACTGACCACATGGCTAAAACACTTGCTTAGCCAGCATGGGACATCAGCTTATAGGGCCCCAAAAAGCACATAAGCAAAAATTCGGATAGGGATATCCCATGTAAACCCTCTTATAAGGAAGCCCACTGTGGTAGGGATATCCCCATAAAATGCTTATGCTTATGTGCTTTTTTTGGCCCCTAGCTTAAGAGCTGACAAACGACGCATCAGCCGCACGCTGACAGAAATGTATCCCCCATCAGCCTGACGCTGACAAACGTTGACCCCTGCCCAGATTTTTGATCGGGCAAGGGCGGGCGGGAGATCGAAAATCAGGGCGGCTCCCGTGCTGCTCCCGGTCTATACACCGGTACAACCACAATCACTGTGCTTCAGACACACAGCTGCAAGTATGAACATGCCGCACTATCCAGGCACTCCGCACTCCCCAGAGACTCCCTGGCCTAGCCTGCCTCGCAACACACGACAACATCTGCATGCCACCACTCCCGGACACTGCAAAGAAGAGCCCCTCCTGCAACATGAGTCCTCACACGCCAGACAAGAGCAACGACACACAAGGACACACCCTAGACAAACCACCCTAGCAAAGATTCTATCGGACCCGCGAGCCTGGCGCAAAAATCCCTTCTTTTCAGGGCGAGCGGGCGGGAAAACCTGAAACCCGGACAGACATCGAGCTATAGCAGCAGCACTCTGCACACTCAACGAGATCTTCCCTGTACTTCAACAAACCAAACCCCAGCCCTGCCCACCGAGGCACTCTCTGACATGTTTTGCTGAATGGTGGTCGGTAGTCCAGCGCACAAAGTCTAGGCTCTAGGCAATTCCAGTACGACAACTAGGGAGGCGCAGGCGTCCCCCGGGAACCTGAAGCACTATGAAGCACTCGCCAGGTCTAGTCGCACACGTTATCCCCCATGCGGCAGGACCGACTAGGCACAAACACACGTAATGTTAAGGTGGTCAAACACACGCACCCCTTTTCAATGGTCGCAATGCACACTCCGCCAGGCGGCAGGAAATCCTGCCGCTGGCTCATCCCCCTTTCGAGGCTTAAAACAAGCCACATGGAACTACACCAGGCACAAGCCACTGCTAACTCAGCCCGCGCCAGGGGCAATCACCGGGCACCGCCCACTCCAGGGGCAACAGAGAGACACTGTAGGAAGGGGTGGGAGGGCGGGAAATTTTGTGTGCAGCAGGAAGTGCGAGCAGAGGCTGCGCACAAACACACTTAACACCCGTTCCCTGCATGCGCTTGTAGAGTGGTATGTGCGCGCAAGCACCCCCTCACTCGCGCATCGCTCTTTTTGGAAGCGCACAGCAGGAGGCGTTGCATGTCGTCCCGTCCGCACCAACAAACAAAAGGTTGGGCGGACGGCGACAGAAACCCCACTGTTTGAAGGGCGGAGAGGGTGGGTGTCAAAATTCGCAAGGAATCGACACTTCACAGACAGGCAACAACTGCGGCATGCAGCAAACAAGCTCTCCCATGTCATTACGTGCACCCGTGCACTGACACGACAAGTCATTGTCAATGTGACGTTTGCACCGAACACAACAAGCAACCATGCCTAGCCCACAAAACACACTAGCTGTGCGAGCGCAGTTGCTGCCATGCACGCACATCGATTCGAAACACTTAAACTTCAACAAAGTGCAGTACGCTCAGATCTCGCTTAGATGCACCAGCGCCTCCAGGCTCCAGGGACAGCAGTCCCACTCCACCCTCCTTTCAGGGCGGGAGGGTGGCAAAACCAAGACAACTAGCTGCACAGGCTATCAACACACAGCCCAACTCGAACCGCACAAACACGATCGGACAGCTGCGCACATGCAACTATACAGCAGACATCCGCGCGAGATAGAGAGAGTCGCAGTCACGTGAAATAACTGCGCAACATGGCTATAACTCGAGGACGGTTCATGCGCTATGCTTAGGGTTGGTATACCCAGCTCACCCCAGCGAGAACCGACCGCTCCTGCTGTGGCAACTTTATTGCAACTGTCTCAGACTGAACGCCAGCTGCACTCAGAAGACTAATGCACTGCAGCAAATGCATGCGGTCTCTTCATTTTCCTCTCAGTCGCAAGACTGGTTAAGTTGGGGCAGCGCGGACGGAAAAAGATCTATCGAACCGCCCATGCTCGGCACGGGTTGTCCATTTCAGAATGAGGGAAGGTACACACCACCCCACCCACCACTTCAAGGGCGGCGGGCGGGGCAAAACAAGAAGACACCAAGTGTTCAGCCACACAGGCAACCGCTAGAGCATTCTCTAACACCTGCTGGCCTGGACATGCATCAACACGCAACATCATGCATCAAGGACACGTGCTGCACGGCAACCACAACAGTGCGACACAACACGGCACGCAGCTGCCGACGCAAAACCACAAGCACGCACAGGCTTAGAAGGTTTTGCTTTCAGTCAGGACAGCGGGCAATAAAGCGACGTCAACAAGTGGAAGTAGGCATCACGCACACATCAAACGCACCTGAGACACAAAGCGAGATAGAGAAGGAGTACATCAGTATGTCAGAGCACAGGTCACAGGGCGAGCGGCCATTTGCCCGGCCCTGCAGGATCCCATGCAAGCGGTGTCTTTGACTGAATTCCATGATGCACGCTGTGTGTGCACCTTTTTTGCGAGCTTGCTACAGTATAGACATAAACACATCTGCACATCACGCGGCTGCTCGAAGAGCTGCCCGAACGCAACGCACGTCCCACAAAGCTGACAATCCAGACCATCCGAACCCCGGAGCCAGAACCAGCAAAGCCAAGCACGTTGAAGGCACGTTGCTACTAGCACTTTACTTGTTACTGTTACTGTCCGGAAGCTAAGGATCGCAAGGCTGTGTGTCGGGCAGTTGCGCCGTCTCTTGAGCTCACGCCCACACTCTTCCTGCGCTGCTTTTAGCTAGCCTCTGCACACATCAAGGAACAGAAATTTACCTGAATGCCCCCAAGCCTTAAGCCTTGCCTAGAATCACGCCGTCTGACGTGACCGGGCCTGCAAGCAAAAATGAACATGCATTGCTGACAGTTGACATAATATTGTGCCAGCACCAGCACAAGCATGTCTCCGTTTCACACCTTGCGCTATTTCCTGCAGCGCCACTGTGCCATTCTTTTTCGAACCGCTCACAGATGGTTCCCAGGCCACGCCACACTGACATCAGCGGGCAGCGGGCACTTGCACAACTTGAAAAAGCGGTGGAGAACCCGGCACCGCGTTGGTGAACGTTGTCTGGCCCATCTTCTGAAGGTCAGCGCAAGAAATGAGCGGACGACAAGGTCCTGCGTGACGGTCTGAGAGTCTGGCTAGCACACAAATGTTACGGGCACGCGAAAGCGATCGGAGCCTACTCACACCACCCGTTTCCGTACCTGGCCTGAATACCGCGCTCCGTAGCAATGCGGGACATCAGCTCCAACAACCATCCAGCCTGGCACAGCTGTGACGGCGGAAGAGCACATCCACCCCCCACTACTTCACAGAACAGATCTACCAATCGGGCAGGGCTGCGAGCTCAAGGCTGCGTTTTGCAAATTATTTGGCGCGGGCGAAGCAGCACAGAACTGAACTCCACACCTCGACGGAGCACTGACACAGCCCGGTTAGAGCAGTTCGGCTCGCCTAGCCGACACGCAGCAGGTCAATCCGGGCCGCACCGGCTGGCGAACTCACGCTTCGCGACAGCGTCGTTTGGGTTGATCTTCACGGACAAGGCACATGGGCCTGATAAAGCCATCAACACAAGAAGCACCAGACATGACCATTGACATGAAGTTTCGCGCGACGCGCCCACCTGTGTAGTCAGAAGTGGCATGGCAAGAACCTGCAGCAGCAGGGGCTACCAGACATATTTGTCCAGTCCTCTACGACTCTAGGACTCTAGGGTCTAAACTCAAACCGCTGACACGGGCAGTCTTGCAGAAGCCAATTCTCAGACTTCAATCACCAGCCTGCGTTGTCCAGACGCCACCCAGTGGGGCATGGCCGCAGGAAGTCTTCTTCACATTTGTTCGCGCATGGCCAAGCAAGTCCACAAGAAACTGATTTTTCCTGCGAACATGCGCAAGCGTCAGCACGGTTAAGGACTCGGGAACCCCCAACCACCCAACCCTGGTCGGAGAACGCAGTAATAACCTCACACGTTCTTACGCAGTGCACGACGTGGCTGTCTCCCCTTTTTCATTGGTCGGACGTAGGTCTGTCAAAGTTGGCCAGAAGGTCCAACAAAGCTCGATTCAACTTATCAGAGCCACTAGAGAGGAACACAAAACCAAAGCAAACCTGAAGCCCAAACTGTACAATGTACAAGCAGACTCAGATGAGCTCACGCCGAAGAGGCAGAACAAGATGTAGGTCGTGCCGAAGTCACCGAAGGACCGCGCCACGACACCAAGCATAACAAGCCATGAGGTCGTCCAGGAGCGAGAAGTAAACCCACAACACCGACCAATGACAGCCAGTCATCAAGGTTCACCCGATGGTGTGCCCAGGGTGTGCAAGTAGTCTCGGTAGGCCTTAGCGATGGTTGCGATGGCCTTCAAAGCCTGAGTTTCCCACTGTTGTGCATGACGTGCTCGTTGTGCATAGGCACGCCGGTGAGAGCCCGTCCAACGTCGTTCCATCGATGCCTGTGCCGCTTTGTCCGCAGCCTCATTGAGAGCACGGAGCTGCGTAGCGCACAGGCCACCATGAGGTGCCCAGGTGGGCTGTTTGCCATGGGACGGTGTCCAGACAAACTCGACTTCCAACTTGCCGTCGCGAAACTTCTTGATGTAACGCCGAATCGTGTCGAGCAGGAGAGCGTAGTCGAAGCCCTGCTCGCCCTGGATCGCCCGAATCGCCGCCTGGCAGTCGACGACGACGTACCTTGGGAGCCCGCCGTGCAATGTCAATCGCCTCGAGGGCCAACGCAAGCGCCAGAACCTCCATCCTGTACGGGCTCTGATCCTCCAGCCCATCGCCGAAAGCAGCTACCGAGTCAGGATGCTGAACAGCAATGCCCGAGGAGCCCACGCCATCCTTGCTGGAGCCGTCCGTGGCTACGAAGAGGTCCTGCTCGTCTGCTTTCATTGGTCGGACGTAGGTCTGTCAAAGTTGGCCAGAAGGTCCAACAAAGCTCGGTTCAACTTATCAGAGCCACTAGAGTGGAACACAAAACCAAAGCAAACCTGAAGCCCAAACTGTACAATGTACAAGCAGACTCAGATGAGCTCACGCCGAAGAGGCAGAACAAGATGTAGGTCGTGCCGAAGTCCTCGGTAGGCCTTGGCGATGGTTGCGATGGCCTTCAAAGCCTGAGTTTCCCACTGTTGTGCATGACGTGCTCGTTGTGCATAGGCACGCCGGTGAGAGCCCGTCCAACGTCGTTCCATCGATGCCTGTGCCGCTTTGTCCGCAGCCTCATTGAGAGCACGGAGCTGCGTAGCGCACAGGCCACCATGAGGTGCCCAGGTGGGCTGTTTGCCATGGGACGGTGTCCAGACAAACTCGACTTCCAACTTGCCGTCGCGAAACTTCTTGATGTAACGCCGAATCGTGTCGAGCAGGAGAGCGTAGTCGAAGCCCTGCTCGCCCTGGATCGCCCGAATCGCCGCCTGGCAGTCGACGACGAGGTAGACCCGACGCCACCGTACCTTGGGAGCCCTCATTGGTCGGATAAAATGCCAACCTCGCTGGCCAAGAAGGTCCAACTAGGCACGAGTCGCTTCGTCAGAACACCGCAACACACGTTGAGAAGACGGTAGAACAAACACTGCCAGTATGGACAACTGTACGATGGCACGCAAAGCAGTCACAACTAGAGCTAGTCGTCGCCACGAGGAAGTAGACGAAGAAGTGCCACCACGGAGTGGAAGCACTCAGCCATCATTGCGCTCCCGGGCGGGTGCCCAAGGTCTGCAGGTAGTCATGGTACGCCTTGCCGATCCTAGCCGTAGACCGCAAAGCCTGACATTCCCAAAGTTGTGCATTGGAGCTCCCTGGGCATGCGCATGCCTTCTGGAGCCACTCCACCGCTGTCCCATGGAAGCTGCAGCCGCCTTGTCCGCCGCCTCGTTGAGGGCCCTGAGCCGAGCGGCCGAAAGCCCAAGCGGCGGGGTCCACCCAAGCTTTTTGTCATGCGACGGCGTCCAGATGAACATGACCTCGAGCTGGCCGTCGCGAAGCTTCTTGAGGTAACCACGAATAGTGTCGAGCAAGAGCGCGTAGTCGAAGCCGTTGTTGCTCTGGATCGCCCGAATCGCAGCCTGGCAGTCCACGACGAGGACGAGCCGACGCCGTTGCACCAAAGAGCCGGGAGAAGAAGCCTGGATCACAGCGATCACGGCCTCGAGTGCCAGGGCGATGGCCTGCACCTCCATCCTGTAAGGGGTTTGGTCCTCCAGTCCATCACCACAGGCAGCAACACACGTAATGTTAAGGTGATCACACACATGCACTCCTTTTCAATGGTCGCAATGCACACTCCGCCAGGCGGCAGGAAATCCTGCCAGCAGCAAGAAGTGCGAGCAAAGGCTGCACACGAACACACTTAACACCCGTGTGTTCGCTGCATGCGCTTGTAGAGTGGTATGTGCGCGCAAGCACCCCAACCGTGTCAGGATGCTGGATGGCGACACCCGAGGAGCCCACGCCGTCCTTGCTCGAGCCGTCCGTGGCCAAGTAGAGGTCGCGGTCCGCAGCGTAAGTGCCGAGGAGGTCGACGAGGTGCTCCTTGAAGTCATCTGCGGGGCCGCCGGATAGCAGCCCACCTCCATGGCAAAGAGGCGCTCCTGCGCAGTGTTCTCCGGGAGCTGAACGTCAGCCCGCAGACCACGAAAATGAGGGCAAGCCCAAACCAGGTGAGGTCGGCTTGGGCGAGCAGCACCGCATGCACAGATGTGCCGTTGATGCCCATCGTCGAAGCGGCCCCCAGCGTTGAAGTGCCAGTTGGAGGTCCCCGCACCGATGGAGGCCAAAATCAGATTTCGGTCGTTACCTGCATTGTGAAAGCACTCGCGGTGGCCTGCAAAGTTTTCATTGGTCGGACATGCCTGCAATCCCTAGGCAGCAGAAACTCTTCCCGGGCGGGCGGCAAGAACACTCTAGCACAGCAATTGTGCCAGCACCGGAGCTGTGTACTCAACACCGATACACAACATCCAAGCACTGCTGGCGTCAACACAACTGTACAGCACTGCATGTACATGTAAGAGACGGGTGTATTGCCAAACCCAGCCGAACCGCTACACCCGACACGAACATTCCCCTGCGGTCTCCTTCATTTTGAGAGGCGGTGGTATAGAGTTCTTGGGTCTCAAAGCACCGGCGACACTGCACTCGCTTATCGAGTCGACCCAAACCCAACCCCTACATCTTGCAGGGCGCGGCAGGCGGGAAAAGCAAACTGTCCCTGCTTTAACTTGGCTGGAAACGCCCTATTCCGCAGACCCTAAAGCAACAATGCAGCAACATCCCCCATGTCTCCGGGGGGGGGGGGGGTCGACAGAGCAATCCGCATTTCTGGACGTCCCCCCAACATGTTCCGTGCAGGAATGCAACAACGGCACAAAATGCAGTGGATACTTGTCTTCCTGACTGTCGCAGGCTGCGCATGATTCATCCCCGGATCTCCGAAACGGGGTGCTGAAATCGGGTGGTGGCCTGAATGGCTCCCTAACCTCGATGGTGCCCCGAACCTGAGGTTTTATGCCGCCCCGGCTTGGCGTGCTGAAACCGGGTGGTGGCCGCTCCCTAAACTCGCTGGTGCCCCGAACCTGAAGTTTTATCCCGCCCCGGTTTGGGTGCTGAAACCGGGGTGGTGGCCTGAAGGGGCTCCCTAAACTCGATGGTGCCCCGAACCTGAGGTTTTATCCCGCCCCGGATAAAGCCTCAGGTTCGGGCGAGCTTAGGGAGCCCATTCAGGCGCCACGGTTTCAGCACGCCAAACCGGGGCGGGATAAAACCTCAGATTCGGGACCCAGCGAGTTTAGGGAGCCCGTTCAGGCCACCACCCGGTTTCAGCACTCCAAACCAGGGCCGGATAAAGCCTCAGGTTCGGGGCACCAGCGAGCTTAGGGACCCCATTCAGGCCACGGTTTCAGCACGCCAAACCGGGGCGGGATAAAACCTCAGATTCGGGGCACCAGCGAGTTTAGGGAGCCCCTTCAGGCCACCACCCGGTTTCAGCACTCCAAACCAGGGCCGGATAAAGCCTCAGGTTCGGGGCACCAGCTCAGCACGCCAAACCGGGGCTGGATAAAACCTCAGATTCGGGGCACCAGCGAGTTTAGGGAGCCCCTTCAGGCCACCACCCGGTTTCAGCACTCCAAACCAGGGCCGGATAAAGCCTCAGGTTCGGGGCACCAGCGAGCTTAGGGAGCCCATTCAGGCGCCACGGTTTCAGCACGCCAAACCGGGGCGGGATAAAACCTCAGATTCGGGGCACCAGCGAGTTTAGGGAGCCCCTTCAGGCCACCACCCGGTTTCAGCACTCCAAACCGGGGCCGGATAAAGCCTCAGGTTCGGGGCACCAGCGAGCTTAGGGAGCCCATTCAGGCCACGGTTTCAGCACGCCAAACCGGGGCGGGATAAAACCTCAGATTCGGGGCACCAGCGAGTTTAGGGAGCCCCTTCAGGCCACCACCCGGTTTCAGCACTCCAAACCGGGGCCGGATAAAACCTACCAGCGAGTTTCGGGAGCCTGTTCAGGGCACCACCGGGTTTCAGCACCCCAAACCGGCCCCGGTTTGGGGTGTTGAAACCGGGTGGTGACCCTGTCCGGAGCCTGCGGTTTGCTATAAGAGAACGTCCATACGCCGGTGTGAGTCCCCCGATGTTGGGCACATCGAAGAGCTGTTCGACAGGAGAGCTTCAGGGTTTCTGGGTTTGCGGCTGCCGGGCTTAGGACTTGTGGGTTCGGGGTTTCTGGTTCTGCGGTTTCTGGGTTCGGGGTTTCTGGGTTGGGGTTGTTGGGTTTGGGGTTCTTGGCTCCAGGGTTTCTGGATTTGGGGATTCTGGCTTCAGGGTTTCCGGGTTCGGTGTTGCTGGGTTTAGGACTTCTGGGTTTAGGGTTCTTGGCTTCACGGTTTCTGGTCTTGGGCTTTCTGGGCTTGGGTTCTGGCTTCAGGGTTTGTGGATTTGCGGTTGTCGGGCTTGGGGTTCGGGGTTTTTGGATTCAGGGTTTCTGGGTTTGGGGTCTCTGGTTTTGGGGTTTTTGGGTTCGGGGTTTCTGGGTTTTGGTGTTGTTGGGTTTGGGGTTCTTGGCTCCAGGGTTTCTGGATTTGGGGATTCTGGGTTTGGGGTTTCTGGCTTCAGGGTTTCCGGGTTCGGTGTTGCTGGGTTTAGGATTTCTGGATTGAGGGTTCTTGGCTTCACGGTTTCTGGTTTGGGGTTTTCTGGCTTGGGTTCTGGCTTCAGGGTTTCTGGGTTTGGGGTTGCCTGGTTTAGGATTTGGGGGTTTCGTCGCTCACTCTCGCACGCAGCAGGCAAGGCTCCACATAGGGGTTCTCCGTTTCCGGGATTCGTCTTGTCCCCCTCAGCATTTCATAGTTCTTGTAGGGGGTCTGCAATGGGTAAGCCCGGAAAGGTCTAAAATGGGTCCGCCCCCATTCCAGACTCCTCATACGTCGACTGCCAGCAGCCACCCATTCAAGACCCTTCCAAACTGCGGGGATGTCAATGGAGTGCGCGACCTGTGCAGATGCCATCTAGCTTGGAGATGCCATCTAGCTTGGCCTTGTGTTGTGTGTGTGTACCGCGGAGCCGTGGTCTTCTGCAAGAACGGCAGCCGAAGTTTGAGGACAACCAAACCAACGGCTGTGCCGCTCACGGGGAACCTGTGCAAAGCTGTGCGCGTTCAGCAGCTCATCCACTATGGGGCGCACAGTCGTGGCAAGCTTTTCCAAACAGAGCCAAACACTTCCGAAGCAGCGCATTGCATTTACAAGCCCCCCTCCCCCCCTTCCAGCCCTGGCCCTCGAATGCACTTCCAACCCCCCCCCCCACCGACCAAGGGCCAGCAAGATGGGGGACGCAGCAACAAGCTCCGCGCCACCGCGATCTTAGTTTTTTCAAGAATGAACAATGGTCGCAGGCAAGTTGCGCACAGAGGTCTCAGCAAATAGCTGCTGGCCTCGCGCACGCCACCTGTTAGACGTCTTCAAAGCACGGGAAGATTCCGCACCTGCCCAACCCCACAGCTAGCACGGCTGCGGAAACTGTCGCGGCTGTGTCATTATGTGCACACGTGCAATACAAGGCCTAACGCCCAACCCACTGCCTGCTAACAAGCGCTGGGCTTAAGTCGACCCAAGTTGCGTGAAGTCGGCCCTCCCCAAGCTCACGCACCGATTCGTGCGAAGTCGACCCATCCGCAGAAAGTCGACCCACAGACTGGGATCCGCAACTGCACGCCGGTATTGGACGAGCACAGCCCGACATGTCAAATCTGCGCGTGGCACGAGACTCGCACAAAGTGAAGCAGACGTGCACTGAAACAAACGAAAACTGCAAGTGCACGCCCCATTCTAGTGGGAGCTATCCAAGCCTCGAGACGAGCGGAAACTGCATGTACACCGCGCGAGGTAGTGGTCAGAAGCGACACAGGTTTAGCCTAGCTCGTAAATCGCATCACCCGGTGAATGCTCAGTCAAGCTTCGTCGGTTGGGGATTGCACATCCACTGCTTCAGCGCACCGCAGAAAGGCTAGTGAAAGGGTTGCCCTGTGTGCCTTTAATCGGACTTCCCATGTACACGCCGGTGTCCTTGCATATCTGGAATCGGGCTTGGCGTGTAGTTGGGTTTTCAATATCGCCACACAATGTGCTCCCACGCTTTACTTCGGAACCCCCATGTGCTTGCCGGGGTGAGATGACTTCCAACTTGCCGGGGGGAGATCCCGACGTGCACGCCCACCCCACACAAGATGGGACGACTCAGGCCGACTACCTTGTCACCAGCAGGTGCAGCTGTGAGCACACAACACTGCGAGCAGTCGATAGCATTTCTCAAGCCGGGCGTACCAGCCGGCAGCAGCTCCCAGGACTGCCTCGAGAACAGCTATTCAGACCAAGTTTCGAGGGTCTGGATTGCCTGCGCTCGCGGCCTTTGTTGGAATGCGGGAATCTGGTCCAGACATGTCCAGACCCACAACGTTGAAGTTAACAATCCAGACCCCGAGGATTGCAACCTGCGATTCAGACTCAGCTAAAATGGGTTGACTGCTGCCCCGACACTGGCCCGACACGCCCCCCTCTACTATTATATGGGCCTTGGGTGATTTACGCAGTTAACGGAAGCGCTACAGCAAGGGCGCCGACCCGTTCCCCCGCTACTTCCTGAAGTGCCCCCTACGACGAACACATTTTCGCGGATGCGATTCCGTCTCGGATTCACAGTTTACGCTGTATAGGGTTTGGAAAATCTTTTCGGGCGGTTTATAAGACTTCTACTTTGGTTTGGGATCCTAGAGATTTTAGAGTTTCTGCGTTCAGGTGTTTCGGATTTCTGTGTTCAGGGTTTCTGGATGTTTTGGCTTCTGGCTTCACGGGGTTTCTGGGTTAAGGGGTTCTGGCTTCAAGGCTTCTGTTCTGGGTTTAGATTCTGGATGTTCCAATGCCCGGGGGGGTAGAGCCCCGGGCCGGGTTCAAAGTTTAGGGTTTCTGCGTTTCTGGTTTTATGTATCTGTGTTCAAGTTGTAAGGTTTCTGGTTTCAAGGCCTCTGGGTTTAGAGTTTCTGGATGCTTCTGTTTCGGGCTCTTGGGTTTCGGCGCAATGCTGGGTTCAAGCGTTGGGATTTCTGGGTTTACAAAAACTGGTTGTTTCCGACTTTCGGGTTTCTAGCTTCCAGGGTTTCGGCACTCTCTGGCTTCCGGGGTTTAGGGTTCCGGGTTCAGGGGCTCTGGGTTCAAGGGTTCTGGCAGTTCTGGGTTCAAGGCTTCTGGGGTTGGAGTTTCTGGACGCTTGTGGGTTTATGGGTTTCAGCAGCCTGGGCTTCTGGTTTAGGGTTTCAGGATTAAAGGACCCAGATGGTTCGGATGGAGGTCTGAAAATTAGGCGTCAATGCAGACTCACCCGATCCCGGTTTTGTTTTGGATAGCATTCAAACGTGCATATAGAGAGGGGTCTGGATTGGGGTCTGGATTGACACCTGTCGGGGTCTGGATTCAGGAACCCCAGCACTTCGGACCCCAGCCGCCATGCTTCCCCAAGCGGGCTCAAAAGTTTCTGGGTCTGCTGAGGGGACACAATGAACTGAACGACCACCTCCCTTGTAAGGTTGAACCCGACAGCGGAGGAGGTATAGGTAGGTTTAGCTCCGCAGAACTGTGCACGCGGCGACACATCTCGCTAGCTGCTCGGCTCAGCTCTCCCTGCACGCCAACAGGCATCAGCTTTTCTGTCTGATTATCCTGTTGCCACTTCTACGTAGCAGCCTTACAAAGGAGGCCACCGGATCCTCAGAATGCTCACGTAGCAAATATCTGCAATGAAATGGATGCAGTGGCGAGCGTGTGGTGCACGTGCAAGATGCGCTGTACGCAGGCATACCCACTTCAAAGATGCAACTGCACACATGCGCATTTGTTCGTGGGATGAGCAGCTCGACCTGAAGCAGTGGATATCCCTGAAGGGGCATGTCAGTCGGACAGGATGAAACTACCGAATAACCTCAAATGCGCAGCAATGCAAGAGCACTCCTTTTCTTCGCGAATGGGAATACATGGTAGCATGATGCAGCATAACATACGCTGCGGCTGCGGCATTTTCACACAATGGCAAATACATATGCCAGAATCGCAACCCGCACATCAAAGCACGGGCGAATGCTAACACTCACATATGCCAGAATCGCAACCCGCACATCAAAGCACGGGCGAATGCTAACACTCCCCAGCTTCCCGACTGGAGCAAACAAGCACACAAGCCCAGGGCACAGGCTGCAACTGGCGCAACACGCAGGCAAACCTGCACACCAGAAGTGCCAACAAACACCGACAGCAAGCAGCTACCGGACCAGCAATCACCCCTGCAGACAGACAAGTCCCCCTACGATGGACGCGGTCCACAACACACGGCACCTGGCAAATCAGCTGCAAGCTCAGGACATGCAAGGCTGCAGTGATCAACGAGGGTTACGCGTGTGCCTTGGCTTAGCCCACCAAACCCCAAGGCAAACACCCCGTAGCTCCAGTCTGAGTCTCTGGGCAGAGCCAGAGCTGCAACTACTCAAACGCTTCGCACACATATGGTACACTCCGATACGAGGCTTAGTGTTTCGCTGCGCACTACCCAGCGCTCTTCGAAACGGTTGGAACTCCTCAGGGGTGCTCTCCTTCAAGGCTAAGTCGGATAAAAGTACAATTTTTGCAAGGGAATTTCAAGCTGTAAATTACAATACGAAATATGGGGGCTCAGAGTCTCAAGGGTTCAAGATTTGCTGCATGCACACCGGGCCGCCTGAGAAGAGTATGTGAATACCACGACATCTGCAGTGAAAGCGTGGGTTGCAGAGCCAGGTCACGAAATGCTTGAGCCTAAGCCTCACTGAAACAAGTCATTCCCAAACCGTAGTCGCCAACCCGTTTGCTCCAGCGGCTTGGACACAGACAGGCAGCGGCTCTGTTTGCGCACCTACAGTTCTGTTGAAAACAAAGCCTGCGGGCGGCCCACGATTCCCCCAGAACGAGCAAGAATCGATACCAACGCGGAGCTGCAACAATCTGCGACGCCAACCCTTCAGGGCCTGGCGACTGGCTGGATCGTTGCCTCAGCGATATGGAAATCGGCAACATAGTACAGAACACTGCCAAATATCAACTTGCCTGCAAATAACGGTGTTGGGCAAAGCCCTTCATACCAACCAGGAGCCGAGCAGATGCCTGCAATCAATCGCACTCACGTCCTTCTGCCTCTGGTTCTGACGCTTTCAAGGAGGGTCATGGCCGTCTCTCTGTTCTAAACTCACAGGCTCACAGGTAGCCCCGGCCCGCCAGCCCACACTGCCGTGACACAACATGCAGTCGACGCGCCCTCTGACTCTTGTTTTGCTACGAGGGATGCGCAATCGAATTCCTGACACTCTCGTTCTGAGTCACTAGTCTCGACATGTACAAACTACCCAGCCCATAGATGCCGCGACACTTTTAAGACGCAAGTGCGCACACGCTCTTTTGTTCGTGGGATGGTGCAAACGCCGACAGTCGATCTTTCCTGGCCTAGCAAGGACCTACAAACTTCCTGGAGGCGATTGAGGCGGCGGTGGGCTGAAAAGAAATCCTACGGCTAAAACCTACCTGGATCTAGCTCTAGGCTCTGGGCAGAGCCGGAGCCACAAACTGCAACTACACAAATGCTTCGCACACTCATGGTACATTATGACACGAGACGCTTGGGGTGCTGCGCTTCGCTCCGCACTGTCCAGCGAGTCTAGCATGGAACCTCACCAAACTTCCCGGGGACGAATGGGGCGAAATGCAAGCTACTTCTTCCCGGAGCCGATCACACGGAATCACACTTCACCCCTCAGGAAAACTCGAGCAAAAGGCTAGCAGAACTAAATATGTAGCTGCAGCTGTGAAACGAACACCGAGACGACTTATGTGCTCCGCTTCGCTCCGCGCAGTTCAGCGTCATCCAGCAACACTTGGCAAAAACAAAGCTTGTGGCAGCAGCTGCACCTTCGCCGACTTGAGTCCAGTACACCGGG